AATAAATTTTTGAGCAAGTACATAACCAGCCAGGGTCCAAAACTATCTCCTTACCTTAGCCCGATTCACATCGGTAAGCTTATAATACTGTTTTCTAATTTGAGTGTTACTGGTAGGAATTTGTGGGAAATTCCAGCATACCGCGGTGTCATTATGCCATGTCGGTAAACATAAAGAAGTTGTCCCGGCTAGTAGGCTATATCGCATGTGAGGATCCTGCAGGTGGCGGATCGTTTATAGCCTTTTCTCACAGCAGCTGGAATAATTAAATTTATCATTTATCATTTTTATTGCGGATTGTAATCCAGAAATTATTATGTGTTTATGAAACACAAGTGCCTGAAATTAGATTATACTCCAGTTTTAAATGATTACAGATAGCCTATGTGGGATTACACAAGATTTTTTTATTTTAAAGGGAACCAGTTCTAAGTAAGAATAATTTGCTTTTTGGGTTAAAAATAAAAGACAATTAGAGATTACTGTACAGAAATTGAAATCTACACGCTAATACACACTAGCTACATGCAGTGCTGATGTTGTTAACATTAAAGGGGTCATATGATGCGATTTCAAGTTTTCCTTTCTCTTTGGAGTGTTACAAGCTGATTGTGCATAGATAAGATCCCTGAAGTTGCAAAGACTAAAGTCTCAAAACCAAAGAGATATTCTTTATCAAAGTTAAGACTCTGCCACGCCCCCCAATGTGCCGCCCAAATGTGCACGCAAAGAGAGAAGGCGTGGTTTCAGTAACCGCAGTTAGTGTTGAAGCAGCCATGTCAGGGAGACGCTGTGTGTTTCTAGGAGAAAGCAAAAGCACTTTATTTGGCCTTCCGAAAGTAGATGCATTAAGATTACTTACAACAGAACAGCAATGCATTTTATGGACGACAGTTTCGTGAACCTAGGAGAGGAGGTAATTCTGACTTTGCTATGACAATCTGGCGCTTCTGAATCAGCTACTGTTTTGTTATTAGTTTAAGTATTTGCTATTGACTGTTCAAATGCGGAGTTTTGCGCATCGTGTGTGTGTGTGCGCGAGCGAGCGAGCGAGAGAGAGAGCGAGAGAGAGAGAGAGAGCGCGAGAGAGGGCGAGAGAGAGAGAGAGAGAGAGAGAGGGGGTCACATCACAAACACATACCAGCTTCATCACTGTGTCTGTCACGCGACTCTGTTCCCGTTTCGGGCTCTGTCTTTACATTTATTTTGAAAGATGAAGCTCGCGATTATGGTAAGGGGCGTTACATTTCCGACGAGTGCTTGCGGTGTTCGGCCAATCACAATGCACTGGGTCAGCTGGCCAATCAGAGCAGACTGCGCTTGTCGGAAGGAGGGACTTTGTAGAAAACTAAGCGTTTGAGAGAGGCGGGGCATAGAGGACTTACAATAATGTACAGTATTTGAAAAATAATGTTTTTTGAACATTAAAGCATGTCAACATATTCTGTTACACCAAATACACAAAATAATGATCTTTAAAAAAGCATCATATGACCCCTTTAACAATTTGAGAACAAAGTATAACAGTAATATTAATTTGCATGGTTTGAAGTGATATGAGCTAATCGATCGTACCCTTGGCAGCGCGATTTATTGTAATGCTTTTTTCCTCAGTTGGTCAGAACAAAAGTGGCAGACTTGTAACTTACTTGTTCAGATGACAATATCCAGTAAAAATTCATATTTGGGGCATACGTCCAAGACGTAGGCTACAATCTGTGATTCCGAAGTACAGTATCCACACCGGTGTGGTGACTGACATCGCGCTGGAGCCGCGCCGACGCACAACCCACGCAAAGAAGATAATTCCGCAAATAACTGCAATTGCAGGTTTCAAACAGAGATGGCGACAAAGAGGCAAAACTTACAGACTGCAGCTTTAAAAAAAAAAAAAAACCTGACCCCAAACTTTTTAATAGTACTGTATTTCAGAATGATGTTATCCTTAATAAACCTTTTCAGGATATTTTTACTTTCATGTAAACATTTTAGGTAGCATATTCTGATATTGTCATTTTATTTTCTATCAATTTACAAATTGCTCGTTTGATGCCATTGATATTTGTGTGCAGATCCACGCGAACGAGAGGAGGTGGAGCTTGAGCTGCAGGTGGGCGTGGCTCAGGTCAGTCAGCAGCAGAAGGAGACAGTGGTGAGACAGCTGGCCGCATTACTACATGTTCTGGACTCAGACATTGCACTGAAGGGCCTGCATGGCCAGTCGGACATCAGGTACCACACATACGACAACCAAACCAAATCTAAATGAGAACTTGTGTGGTTCTTAAATTAAGCTAATCATCATAATTACTAGAGACTAACCCTAGTTTAGTTAAAGTCTACATGTCTTTCTTGTGTTTAGCACAGTATTCAGGTTCTCAGTGCAGGGTCCTGATGGTACATTTCCAGGGCCTAAGCTCGCTCGTCTGCTGAGAAACCAGCTGTTGCGAGAGAAAAGTGACTTCTTGCTCTTTAAGGTCTTAAGAGTAGACACAGTTAGTAAGTGACTTTTATATAATAAATAAAAATGTTGGCAATGCAGTCTTTCTGATTTTACCTTGGTTGTGAATATTTCAGTGTGTTTGCTGCTGTGTTCTGGACGTGGTCAGTGTGATCCCATAACAAAGAGCTGTTCCTGTGACCCTCTTTGGATGGAGAACCCCATTCGCCGCTTGCTTGATGATGGCGAGAGCAATTGTGGTTAGTATGACCTATTTGTCGCCAAATAAGTTTTTTCATGTAAATGAGAAATTTCAAATAAGATAGCAGCAGGTTCAGTCGTAAGGTGTGGTACATGAAGAGATGCTTCATGCAGCGCTATACTACTGACAATGGACCGTTTTTGCCCATGAAATTTTGCTAATGTGACGCCTTTATTTATGCTTTCCATTTTGCTGATGTTCTGTCATGAAAACATTAGAATGTTTTACAGTGATGGAAAGGCTGAGTGCTAATCTTCTGTCTCCTTTCGCAGACTGGTGCGTGTTGTATGTCACAATCTCTTGTTTCGTGACAATCATTTTCCTCTTGTCCATCAGCTGGATTTGTGTCTGCTGCTGTAAAAGGTGATAAAGATTCCATTACTGCATGTAGACAATGTCATATACACTATCGTTCAAAAGTTTAGGTCAGTTAGATTTTTTTTTAAAGGAATGAATACTGAGCAAGGACAAAATGAAATTTATGAAATGTGGCAGATATTTATGCTGTTCTTTTGAACTTTCTATTCATCACATGCCATTCTTTTAAAATTTCTATTAATCTGAGAATCTTGAAAAATGGTTTCCAGTAGCACAACTGTTTTTTAATATTGAAAAGAAGTATTTTGTGAGCAGCAAATCAGCATATTAGAACAATTTCTGAAATATCATGCGACACTGAGAAATGAGTGAAAATGTATTTTTGCTGTTACAGGAATGAGATACATTTTAAAATATATTAAAATAGAAATGAGTTATTTCAAATTTGTAGTAATATTTCACAATATTACTCTTTTTATAGTATTTCCTATCAAATAAATTCAGCCTTGGTGAGCGAGAAAAACTTTTAAAAATGTTTTACCAACCCAGTACACAGTTTTACCAGTACTTTCAGTACTGCAAGTCCAGTATTAAAGGGATTGTTCACCCAAAAATGTTCATTCTGTCATAATTTATTCATGTCATTTCAAACCTGTATGACTACTACTTTGGAACACAAAATAAGACATTTTGAATTATGGGCTGAAACGCCCCAGTTTTTCATTCCTTGTCAAAATATCCTAATGGATTCCAATAAGAAAATTGTCCTAATTAGTATTTCTATCATAATTTGGAACCATTCCAATGAGATTCTTATAAGACTCAAGATTCCTTTGAGGGTTTTTTTTTTCTGGGATCCATTGGCATCCTATTTAAATCATTCTCTTTTGTGTACATTGTCTCAGTAAACAAGCTGCTGCAAAGAAAATTAACAGTCATAGATAGGAATCTTACAGGAATGGAATCCAAAATATAGATAGAAATTCTAATTAGAATCCTGTACAATTTTCTTACTGGAATCGTTTATTGCAATCGATTTTTTTGACAAGGGATTGAGTTTTTCGTTCGATGTGAAAGAAGGAACCTTTTTAAAATGACACAATCATGATTTTGTGTACCTGTGGTATGAGTTTCTATAGTCATGTGTTTGTTTCGGACTGTTGTAGAGGGAGACGCACTAAAGTGAGGAAGAAAACCAAGTACACAATACTAGACAACATGGACGAGCAAGAGAGGATGGAGCTTCAGCCAAAGTACAGTAAGTTTCAGACCCAGATTAGTTTATGCCACAGTATTTTTGCAGTGAGGAAAGAAGTTTGACACTCTTTGGGGTAGCTCTTTCTTGAGGCTTGTAATTGCAGTTGCTGCATTCACTTTTCTGCATTTGCCATCATTAGACATTAAACACAGGAGCACAGAGCACAACTCCAGCCTGATGATGTCAGAATCAGAGCTGGACATTGAGCAGGACAACCTTTTCAACTATGGGAAAGCTCGGAACAGAGCCAATGGAGCGGTCAGAAATGGAGACACTCTCAGCCTTTGTCCTGTGGAGGGTTGAGTCTCACATGGACACATGGACATTTCTTCATATGGATATTTACAACACAAGGGTATTGTAGAATATTCCACAAATACAGATGCAGACAAAAGACTGGCTGAAAGAATGGGTTGCTAAACTACTGACTACTGAATACATTTGGTCTTATAATGAATATTCACCGGTTTGCCGAATGATACTTTCAATTACCAATAGCATATTCTTTTTGGATATAAAAAGACATGTGCATTCAACTCACACAATCAGAGTTGTTCTCAATATGTTCTTAATAATGCTTGTATATTTCAGTGACACCGTGCAAGCAATTGACATCAGTTATTTTGTTATTTATATGATGCTTCTATGATACATTTGGGGAAGAAGTTGCAAGTAACTGCTGCATAGAAAAGCAAAAGCAAAAAAGCAAGCAAATACCATTCTTCTTTATGCAAAACATTTTATTTCTACTGAACTTTCTGAATGTTAATGTGCCGGACTGAAATGCACTCATTTTGTTATAATTTTTCAGTATTTCAGTCTTGGCCCTGATACTGTACATTGGTCTTTGTCTTTATAGCATTCTGGTTTTACAACCTTTTAAACATTTCTGCTTTAGCTGGAATTGCAATAGAAGCCATCTGTATCAGGCATATTGTGACAAGGAGATGAATTTCTCCTATATCCTTTTTGTTTTAATGCAGCAGGAGATGCAAAAAATTAAAGACATACAGTATGGCCCTTTACAAAGGTTAAGATTGTTTTATAACCAAAAGTTCAATATTTATAGAATTGAGTTCACATGAATAACAGCAGTGTGTAAATCTGTGTTAATGTGCATATTCCGGCTTGATTTTAAATTAGTGATGAAAATGGCACAACTAAACGAACAGCAGAAGTTCAAATGTTTCTTTACCAAGGCTTTCAGATGCATGTTTAGTCTTTGTACCTTCATGTGCTTATCTGCAAAATTTCACTCCCACGGTAAGAAAATTAATATACTTATAAACATTTTCATACATATAACACTTCAAAATACAATTAGGTATATCTATAGAAAATTAATATTTACAACAATTAAAAAAACATTACAACAGAGAACAGTAAAAAAAAAAAACACACTGGCAATTACAACATTTGGCCACAATGACAAATTTGATTAATCTCTATGCTTTAATACCTCAAATCAGAAGTTTCTATCCAGCAGCATGGGCACCCAAAAACATCCCATCACAGACAATGTTTCATTTTTAACAGTCTTAATCTATTTCTAGAATTACAAAAATAGAACATTTAGTAAGTTAAACATTTAAATGATTTTTTAAAGAAAGATTGTGCTTTGATTTCTCACCGGTTTAACCTCCATCCCTATATTTATACATACTTAATTGTAATTTTTTTTTTTGTGTGTGTGGCCAAATTAATTTACACTGCAAAAAAAATAAAAAAAATAAATTTAATTAGTATGTCTTGTTTTCAGTCTAAAATTAAATTGAGTAAGAAGAATAAACTTTAGATATTCAAGATATATTCTCTCATCTAATCTTACACAAAAACACAAAAGTAAATTTATCCTGCTTGGATAAAAATAATATTTTTTTAGTGTTCAAGATCTTATTTCAGAGCAACAAGGTTACATCAATCAGTTATGATGGATGGAATCTCAAAGAGGACTATTTATACCCATTTTTGCAACAAATATCTAAAATATCCTGGCAATGAAATATCTCTGTATAGTCATTATTCAGTTACATATGATTAAAAGAGAATGGTTCACAGTGGATTCATGTTTTTAGTATTGCTTACATAATGACATACTGCTCTCTAGTAACCACAGTCTTTAAAGAGAGAGTCCCCCCAAACACATGTACTTTATTTCTAGATACTCATCAATGCCGTATTTGGATCCTTCTCTGCCAATTCCAGACTGTTTGATTCCACCAAATGAGGTTTCTGTGGTGGAGATCAGACCTTCGTTGACCCCAACCATGCCCACTTCCATCTGCTCAGCCACCCGCCAGATCTGACTGATGTCTCTGGAGTAAAAGTAACCTGATGAAAGAAAACAGTTTTGAATATTATGCCACAGAAAGAGACAAGTGATAGAAGGTATGTTGCTGCTGTTTGCTTTACTTGACCATCCAGACACATAAAGGTACAGTGGAGCTGAAAGGAAATATGACTTTTCCTGGTCCCAAATATATAATTGGGGAGCAAAAAAAATTTATATACACACACGCACTCACTGGTGAACAAAATTATTAGAACTCTAGTATTTTCACCAGCTAAACAATGGTTTTAAGTCAGTTATTTCTATCTTGCTGTAGTTTGTCAGTAGGAAATATCAGTTTACATTTCCAAATGTATATACTGCCAACCAAAAGTTTCGAATAAAAAATAAAGAAGTCTCTTATGCTCAGCAAGGCTGCACTTATTTGTTAAAAATACAGTAAAAACAATAATATTGTGAAATATTATTCTAATTATATTGATAATAAATTTGAATATATTTTAAAATGTGAAATATTTTAGTCTCATTTAAATACATATTCAAGATAATCCCTTTGTTTTTGTTGTTATTTAGTGTTTAGGATGTAAATAAAATGAGAGGTCCTTTAACCCCTTTGTATCCGACAGTATTTCATGATTGGTTAATTTGCCTTGTTGTTAAATGATTAACTTGAAAAATTGAAATGTAATGTAGTCTATTTGTACATGCTTTCAATAAGGAACAGTCTTAGCTAATAAATAAACAGGCATGTGAGGAAAAAGTGGGCAAACTCAAGACTGTCCAACAAAACTTTGTAAAATCAGAAACTACACAGGAAAAAAAAAACGATTAATTTGCACAGATGGACAAACCTGCTAAACCAACAGGAGAAGCATTGGCAATGGCAAGTGCCTCCTGTTCTTTGTTGAACCTGGTGAAGAAAAAAAAATTCAGCAGCTGGCAGACATTCACGCTGAAACATGCAGCCCATTAAAACCTATTAACAAAAAATGTTATGTAAAAATTCAGCACATTCACGCCATTCACGCTGAAACATGCAGCCCATTAAAACCTATTAACAAAAAATGTTATGTAAAAAAAAAAAAAAAAAAAAGAACAATTTAAGAAATAATTAAAAATCTTATACAATTGTAATAATCAAATGAAAACTAAATATTTTCAGAAACAATTCAAATTAAACTCAAAATTGTTATGCTGATAATATATAAGAAATCTGATAAATATGTAATGTAAAATAAAATGTGTTTTAAATGACTACATTTGAGGTTAACATGAAGTCATGTAATCCAATAAATAGTAAATACTCACTTAACAACAGGAATAAGGGGTCCAAAGGTCTCCTCTCGCATACATTGCATGTCAGTGTTGACATTAGACAGCAGGGTGGGCTGCATGAAGGAGCCCTCCAGTCTCTTCCCACCTCGAACTATGACTGCTCCCTGTGCCACAGCATCTGCAATCTGGTTCTCCACCTGAAGGAAACAATAGCTGATCAACACCATTAAACCCATCATCTTAACCAAATGATCTGTTTGTGTGTGCTTGTTGACAGTGACATCAGTGTTTGCTTCCAACAGAATCAACTGATTACTGTATCGGCACCTTCTCTGCGGCGCGGGTGTTGATGAGCGGCCCCTGTGTGGTGGCGGGCTCTGAGCCGTGGCCAAGCTTCAGTTCAGCATCCATAGCCTTGACCAGCTTTTCCATGAAAGCATCATGGATCCCACTCTGCATCAAAAAGCGGTTGGAGCACACGCAGGTCTACAGTAGAGAGACACGTTACAGGTGAGAAATGGAGAACAGTTGTTTACAGTGACAAAAATATCAAGTATTTACACCATAGTATTTACATGGTGCTCAAAGGTACTTCAAGAATGCTGTGATTCTGAAACATTAGGAGTACCTGAAGTTCACTACTTCACTCATTATTTATGAAAAACTAACTTTTCTTCCTTGAAAATTGTGCTACGGGTCAATGTACGGGTCAAATTTCTCCCCAAAATAAACAGGAAAAAAGAAACAATATTTTGCATAAATTAATTTATGACTGAAACACACTCACCTGGCCTGAGTTCCTGAATTTGGAAACCATCGCTCCTGCAACAGCTTTATCTACATCAGCGCTGTCAAATACAATAAAGGGGGCATGTCCTCCTAACTCCATGGAGACCCTTTTGACCGTTCCTGCAGCATGTCTTAGTAGTATCTGCAAAAGCATTTACTTAAGCGATTACTAAATTATGGTGAACATTAAATGTTGACTGCACATAGAAATTAGATCTTTACCTTGCCAGTGGCCGTGGAGCCGGTAAATGAGATTTTGGCCACGAGAGGGTCCGTGCAGAGCAGCTCCCCCACAGCAGGGGTCTTTTCTCTTGAGCAGGGCACTACATTAAACACCCCAGGAGGAATGCCAGCCTGAACTGACAGCTAGATAAGAAATACAATGGATTATTCATTCTGTCATCTACATATGTAAGATTTTTTATTGTTTTTGAAAGAAGTCGGTTATGCTTAAACTTATTTTATTTGTTTAAAAATACAGTAAAAACAGTCATTCTGTGAAATACTATTACAATTTTAAATAGCAGTTTTTGATTTTAAAGGGGTCATATGATGCGATTTCAATTTTTCCTTTCTCTTTGAAGTGTTACAAGCTCTTGGTGCATAAAGAAGATCTGTAAAGTTGCAAAGACTAAAGTCTCAAATCCAAAGAGATATTCTTTATAAAAGTTAAGCTGTAGTATTGTTGCCTTCGGCACCATGTTGTGAAAGCACTGTGTGTTTCGTTGTGAAAGCGAAACTACTTTGTTTGG